AGGTCACACAGGAGAACAAACTCCAATCTGGGTGTTTCTGATGCACATCTGGCACTCCTTCCTCTCAGCCACACTTGTTACATGCATTTCAATAGTCCCATTATCTAGAAGGAAATATGAGCAGACCATGAGAAAATACCTTACTACCCAAGTGAAGCAATTTATTTATACCAGTTTTGTAGAGAAATGACTCTTGAAATTTCTCCTTCTGTATATTATTTCACTGACATTTTCGGCCCCAAGAATCTACTGAGCCAGAATACAACCTAGGTAGGAATTAAAGTTGATGCTCATTTATCATCGATGCTGTCCATGTTACCCACGCTCTACCAATTCCCCAAATACGCGTCTGCCCATTTGAGTAAGTGATCAGAACGGGGATCTGCTAATCCCAAGAGTCCAAGGAATCCCTTGGAGGAGGCGGGGGATGGAAAGGACACAGGTTCAAAACCTGGCTCTCATTCCAGTGTAACCTTCAAAAAGTCACTTCAACCTCACGAGATCGGGGGTCTCTCGTCTGGAAAATGAGAGAGTTGGACTAAATGACCTTGGAAGGTTTTTACAACAAAGGCAACTAGGTGGCACGATGGATGGGGTGTTGGACCTGGAGTCGGGAAGACCTCAATTCAAATCCTGCCTCAGACATTTCCCAGCTCTGTGACTCTGGGCAAGTCAATTAATTTCTGCCTGTCTCATTTTACTCATCTGTAAAATAGAGATAATAATAGTACCTACTTCCCGGGGTTGTTGTGAGGAGCAAATGAGATAATGTTTGTAAAGTGCTTTATATAAATGTTAGTTATTATTTATTATTATTCAATCTATGATGCTATGATATCAATCACATCCTACCTATCCTCTCTTCCCTACTCAAGGAATGCCTCCCCCTTCCACCTCTGCATGTGGAAATTCAACCCATTATTTACTACTAAGACCATCACCACAACCACCATTATTATAATTACTACCACCACTACCATTATTACTACTACTACCACCACCACCACCGTTACTACTACTACCACTACCACCACCACTACTACTATTTTAACTAGAACAATAAAAGGCCCTTCAATGGATCACAAATTTAGCATTAGATGAAATCTGAAGAGTCCATCAAGTTCTCTTCCCTCATTTTACATATGAATAAACTGAGGCTGAAGGAGCTTAAGTGGATTCCCAAGGTTAACACAACTTATAAATCTGAAACAAGATTTTAACTCAGGTCTTCCAAACTCCAAGTCCAAATTAATCAAGGCTTGTCAGACTAGCTTATAGTAGAGTTCTTAAAAGGACTGTATTCATGGGCAAACAAAACTATCTGTGCTTTACCCCACCAACCCTCAGAATCCCACAGGAAAGTGTCCCATAAAGAACACATATCTTGCCATCAACCATTATAATAATAACATTTGCTATTCTAGTAGCTCTGTTATCTGAGGAAAGAATAGCACTTTTAGGACACTAACTCATTAGCATCTCTAGCACCTCTAAGAGACCAGACAGATAAATCTTCATTTCACTAAAAGAACAAATTGTCCCCACAATAGTGGAATAAGAATTAGAGCTCAGAAATAGGACTGGCTCAATTTGTGCTCTGGACAACTGTTCCCATGGGCAGAGCCATGTAACTAGGACAGGACAGTTGGGGCACTGGCCCAGGGTATCAAAATTTAGAGAGCAAAAACAATTCATAAATTCCTTTAACAACCCTTAATTTAGCACCTAGTTAGCAAGAATGATTAAAGATCCATATGTCTACCCTCAACTTCACTGTGTTTCTAGAGGCTGGTGTCTCAGAGTGTACTTTTCAGCTGAGTTTGTCCTAAAGAGCTGCATATTGTGTGAAGCTTGTCCCAGGAGCTAAAAATGCTAGTTGCGGCACTGGCCAAGGGATGATGATATGATATTTTATAATGCTTTAAGTTTGCAAAGGGCTTTATAAAATTACCCCGTTTTATCCTCACACAACCTTAGGAGGTATTTGCTATCATTATCTCCATTTTACAGATAAAGAACTGAGGCAGACAGAAGTTAAGTGCCTTGTATAGGCTCGTGAAGCTTATGAGTATCTGATACAGAATTTGAACTCAGATCTTCTTGACCCTAGCCCCAGCATTCTATCTATTGCCCGACCTAACTGTCAATCATAAAAATAAAATCTGTGAGAATTTCAAGGTTGGCCTTGCCGGGTACTTGTTCCACAATCCAAAAGACTGAATTCCTTAGAAGATCTATCACAGTCATGATTTCTGTCTCTATCACTAGCTATGCCATCTCCTGCAAGTCATTTAAAGTTTCTCCTGGAGCTTCAGTTCCTAATCTGTAAAATGGGAGAGGTTGGGACTAAGCGTTCTGTGAAGTCCTATTTAGCCCTACATATGGGATCCAGGCATCCTAAAGCAACTTCTCTGAGGCTCAGTCATCTCATCTGTAAAATGAATCCACCAGTCAATTAGCCTTTAAATGAGGAAGATCAATACTGACACTACCTTGTTCAGAGACTGGCCTTGAGGAAAGTGCTTTAGAAGGCTAAATATGCTTCATAAAAGTGAACTATTACCTTTACTACTTAAGGACAGCACTATCTATATAACACACACATTCACACACACATTTTTTTTAAACAACCACATAGCCTCTCATGGCCTCTTTGCACCAAATGCCTATTGCAGATCTCCCAGACCAAGGCTGAGTTGTGCTGTTATTTCCTGGGCTTCAAGCCCATCACTACCAAGCCTCCTTTTGAGCCCAAACACCTATGGAACCTCCAAGAAAACCAGGAAGGAACATAGGCTTTTACTGCTCTGAGCCAAGTGTCTCCATCAGTGAGGAAATAGACAATTAGCCCCCTTAGTATACTGCTAGTGAAAGTGACTACAGAATGCACTGATTAGATGGATGCATTCTCCCCTATTCTGTAAGAATTTTTAAGACACAGAGGACCAAGCAAAGCTTCTTAGCAACCCTCTGATGCTGCTTAAGCACTTTCAGAATATTAGTGAGACTAGAATACCATGCATCTCATTTCTGGAGGCTCCAGCCCTATTTCCAAGCAGAAGAAATTAATGTCACACATAAGAAGTTTATCTCTAAAAGAGAACACTTAATTAAGGAAGTTACTCCACCCATTCAGACTTCACATCATCAAAAGGATCTGTGTTCAAATCCCTACTATGCCATTTAGGGCTTGAGTGACCTCAGAGCTAGGTCTGAGGTCTCTAGGTCTCTTCAGGCCTCATTGTCAAAATGAGAAGATTGGAATAACATTATATATTCTCTAAGATCTCTTCCAGCTCTGAACCTAGGGCCCTTTAAACCCGTTTCTTTGTGCTCCCTTAGGGCATACCCTGATCAGAGACACTGTCTTCTCCTCTGCTGCCCATTTCTTTGATGGTATGGCAGTGATGGGACTGGATTCTATAATTTTTGGTTAAGTAATTCTGGTTCTGCCAACTATAGTTTCAAAAAAGAAAAAAAAATACATTAGGAGAAATGAGAAATCTCCAGGCAGAGCCTCTTAACAGTATGAATTGGGATGTACTTTAGGAGCCAGGTTATTTATAGTGTCTATTTGTTGATGTGTGTATGTAAACACACACATTTCCAAAAGGTGGCACCTTATTCTTGTCCTAGTCTCTTGAATGACCCCCCCAGCTCACTTCTGATGGTGGACAGAGGGGGAAAAAATGGAGGGAAAACTAAGCCAGAAGGGGAAAATGTCTAAAAAGTAGGGGGGAGGGCACTTCTAGCCTATTTCCCTACAGAACTTCATTCTTTGCTAGGGAAAGGTGAACGCCTCCATTCACCTGTCCTAGAAGCCAGCATTGGAGGGACAATCTCTTGGGTCCCTTATATAAGCCACTGTAAAATTTTGTGTGACATTCACCGAAAATGTAAGCTGCTCCCAGAGGAGATCCTTTTAATGGACTGAGTGACAAAATTCACGGGTTCTGAATTCAGCGGAAACCTGCTCAGCCGAGATACAACATGGGCAGAGGGGATGGGAAAAATAAAATCCATCCCCATTTAAGAGGGCCACACAGGCGATGGATTCCAAGTACCTGGCTACAATCTGTTCCGTCTAAGAGACCCATTTAAGATCAAATGGTTTTAGGCAGAACCCACAGTCTTAATCAATTCCAAATAGAATAGGTTATGCTGATAGATTATAGGTTCGTTTTTCAGAGGGTAACAAAAGCTGGAGCCAGGTAATCACACAACGGACAAAATAGATGGTATATACAAACTTCGGAGCGCCTGAACCCTTTGGAATTACTGACATTTACACTGTGAATGCCTGAGTCTCTTATTTATCGACCAACTCATCAGCAGCAGCTTTGTCTAATAGTAATGAGACGTCTTGTCTAAGTGATAACTATGCTACTCGCAGACTAACTGCTCGGTGGAAGATCTGGGTGCTAACCCGGTTATACCTTGCTTACTAACCCACCCACTCCTATCTAATTCGAGTGTAGTCTATGCAACGTGGAGAACAGAAAAGTTCTCTTCCCCCCCCCCCCCCCCCCCCCCCCCCCCCCCCCCGCCCCAACCCTTCCCGGGATCATGCCAGGACAGGCAGATGTGTGCCCTGCACAGTCGGAGGAGGGGACTCTTGTAAGCCAGTCTTTCCAAAGGCATAAATGCCCACCAGCATGCCAGGGGGCACTCCCTGCTGTGTGCCAGAGGAGTGGGGGGGGAGCAGTGCACCGTGCTGTAAAACAATCTGGGGGCTCTGAGAGGAGGATAAAAGAGGGAGTAGGAGGGAAAGGAGGAAGAGGAGAGGAGAAGAGAGGAGGAGAAGGGGGGAAGAAGAGGAGAGGATTTTCTTCGCAACTACTTCCCTCTGGATCTCCCAGCTGAGGAGGGGGCGGTGATTAAGCCCGTCCAGCACCTCCAGACCAACGCTCTGGAGTGACAGCCACAGGTTTGCCTAACTTGTCCCGAGAAGGTAAAAGGCGTCCTCCTCAGTCGGGTCGCTGTCGTGCCCGTGTTCTTACCTTGACCGCTGGAACCGCCCGGGAGAAGGCGGAGAAGGCGGAGAAGGCGGCTGGGATCCGCGGCGGGCTCTGCTTAGCCTAGGAGGTGTGAGTCCGGCTCCGGGGATGCGCGGAGCAGCTGTGCCAGGCGGTGCCAGCCGAGGCGGCCAGGAAGCGGCGATCGCCGCCGCTCGGGGTCCTGCTGCTGCCGCAGGTGGGGCTTCGGTCCCTGCCCCGGCTCCGCCTCCGGCGGCTCCCGGCTGCTGCCCGTGGGACTCCTCTCGGGCACGCCGGGCACGCTCCCTCATGGACCAGGGCCGGGAGGGCTGGTGCCCTTTAGGGCCTGCCCGCTGCTCCTGGCCACGCCGCCGCCGCCGCCGCCGCCGCCGGGGGAGGGGAGGCTGGCCGCGCCCGCCCGGGCCCCCGCTGGCCCCGGCCGGAGGGGAGGGAGGGGAGGGAAGCCCAGGCCCGGGCCGGACGGCTGGCAGGCTGGCAGGCTGGCAGGCTGGCAGGCGAGCGGGCAGGGGGAGCGGGCGGGCTCGGGCCGGCCTCTTCGCCCCCTCCCCCAGGGCCTGCGCCGCTCGCTGCTCCGCGGGAAGGAGGGTGATCCGGAGCTGGAGATGGAGGAGGAGGAGGAGGAAGAGGAGGAGGAGGAGGAGGAGGAGGAGGAGGAGGAGGAGAGGGCCTCGCCCGGCCTGGGAAGAGGAGGCAGGGGGCGGGGGCGGGGGTGAAACCCCGAGAAGGTCACGGAAGCGGAGGCGCCGTGAGCGGGGCGACGAGGGGGGGACAGTGGGGAGGGGGCGTCCCCGCCCGCCCCCCGCTCGAGCGCTGGCTCCTCCTTCTCGGCCGCGGCCGCGGGAGCTTCCCCGGCCTGGGCTGGCTTCCCGGGAACTGTCCGCGCACAGCCGCCGCCGGCTGGAGCTGCCCCGGCCGGGCCGGGCGCCTCTTCCGGGCTGGCCGCCGCGCCGGGCTGGGCTGGGCTGGGCTGGGCTGGGCTGGGCTGGCCTGGCCGCTGCTCCCCGCGGGGCTCAGTGCCCGGACTGTGCGCGCCGAGCGTCCCCGGAGCAGCCCGGCCCCGCCGCCGCCGCCGCCGCCGCCGCGCGCCCCGGGCTCGGGCTCAGCAGCTGCAGTGACTGTGTGTCTGTGTCGTGTCTCTACGGCCGGGGGGAAACCAGCAAGCCCGGGCCGGCTCCGGAGGAGGAGGAGGAGTGGGGCGGGGCCCTGAGGGGCGGGGCCTGCAGCCCCCGCCCCCCCAGCTCCCCGTGACCCCGCGGAGAGGGCCGGCCGGCCAATGGGAGAGCTTGCAGCCGGGCGGCCGCGAGACCGGCCCCCTCCTCTGCGCCCTCCCCCCGGCTCCGCCCCCAACTTCTCCGGCCTCCCTGCCGAGCTAGCGGCCTCAACACCCGGAATGGGGAGCCCGTGGGCAGGATCCGGACTGACGGGGGCAAGCTGGGGAGCTGTGGGTCCCCCCCAGGCTCCCTGGCGGCAGCTGCCGTGGCTCAAGCTCTACGTGCCTACCTCGTGAAAGCCAGTGGAGGGGAAGCCCACCCACCAGCGGGCCAGCCCACGGCGGCTGGCTGCCTCTGCGGGCTCCCCGAGAGAGCTCCCTTTGCTGCTTCTGAAAACAGCCCCCGCTGTGCACGCACTAGCTCTTGGCCAAAGGGCCGAGGCTCCCGGAGAGAGAGAGGAGGAGGCGAGGAAGTTTTTTCACCTCTTTCCCCCTCCTTCTCTTCCTCCTCCTCCTCCTCGGATCACAGCTTCTGTCGTACATAGGCGAAAGCTGAAAACAGCAGCAGGAAGACCCAGAGTGGGCTTTGGACAGCATCCTTCCTTCGGAGGGCTACTTCCGAAGAGAGATGAGGTGGGGGGGGCGGGCTGGGATTTCTCTAGTTCACTCCTTAGTGGAACAATTCCCACGCATCCCTCGCCACACCCTGTGTCCCTCATAGCCTCCTCCTCCAGCTTTTTTTTTTTCTGCTCTACCCACCCCCTTCAGAAGCATCCCATATCCCCCTTTCCTTTTAGACCTCCAGAGGGGCTCAGTTTGCATCCATTGAGAGCTAAGCTGGGACCCGTGTCCGGTGAAAGGGGTTAGGTGACAGAAATTGCTCTCATCTCAGGGGTGGGGGTGGGCGGAAACAGGGCGAGAGTGGAATGAGAAGGGAGAAAGCCGAGGATAGGGAGAGAGGGTGGTGTCTGGGAAGCTGAAGATGAAAGGAGGAGGCCCCTCGGGAAACCTGGGAGGTGCACGACGAGCAATGGAGAAGCTAGGGGGACAGCTCCGAGTTGGGAAGGCTAGGAAAACGCTGACACTCCCGATCCAACTCTCCAGGTTTTTTCCCAGCTCCGCTCCCCAAGCTTCTGAGGTCTCCCAGCAAAGGGTCGTCCAGCTCCTGAATCCCAACAACTAACAGGCTGCCAGGCTGGCCATCTCCCTCCTTCTTCAGTCTCTGTAGCTCGCGGACTCCAGAGAGCCCCGGGACCTTTGGGCGTGATGGGAGTGAGGATTGAGAGTGCAGATTCGGGGACCAGGAGGATCAAATATTATTACGGAGGGAGGAGGAGCCTGAAAGGAGCACTGGGACCCCCAATTTCTGGGACCGCACCCTGGAGAGTAGCGTCCTGCCTAAAGAGCAGAGCCGAGGCTTCTGGAGGCTTATGAGTGTCGCCATCCAACCTGAACTCCCTGCCTTTGCCCAGGTCGCCACACCCTTGGCACGGTGGCAGCCCAGTCTCAGTTCTTTCACATCGCCACTCATAACCCTCCTATGGAACCCTCCAGAGCTTTCTTCCCCAAAGAGGGATCTCTCAGCGGGAGAGCCAGTTGAGCAAGGGAACGCCGAAACCCTTGCCCAGGCGCGCCATGGAGCTGCGGGACAAGTTCACGGTGACGCCCGGGGCCCGCTGCCTTATCTCTCTTCGAGCAAAGATGCTAGCTCTTCCCTGGGAGCAGGAGAGGGAGATGCTATCTTGTTTTGATGTCATTACATTGGCAGCACCGAGCATAATGTGATAAAATATTATCTAATATCCCGGAGCCCATTAAAGTGTCAAAGTTTAATGTCAAGGCTCTTTGGCTCAATCGTTGTTTCGGTTCTCCTGGTGAAGGGGAGGTCTGTTCGGAACGTATTGAAAACAAAGGGATCGCATTTATGTTTTATTTTATTTATTTATTTGGTGAATGTCCAGCGCTGTCCCCTTCTTACTCGCCTGCCTCCTCTTCCACCCAGACAAAGTTAAAACAGGGATGTGGGCTTTATTTTTATCCAGGCGGTTGGCTTCACTTCATTAGTGGTGTAAAATGCATTATTGCAATACGTTAGCATATTAATAAAGGCGATGCGACCCAGAGAGGGAAGAAGAGATTTGAAATTTACAAGCGAGGAAGGAATAATTGAATAAGAGGAGGGAGCAAAGGGCAAAGGAGAAGGGACTGTATTTGAAGAGTGAAGTGAGGTGGTCTGATGAGCTCTAAGAACTGCACAGAGGACCGAGCAGTAGGGAGCTGCAGGAACTCTGCACTTGAGCTGAGAGGACATTGGACATGGAGCTAAGCGAGCTGGATTCCAAACCAAGTCCTCCCACCTCCTAGCCTTGAGGCCTTGGGTCGTTCACTGTCCCTCTCTGAGCCTGTGTCCTCCTCAGTAAAATGAAGGGGTTTGACGAAACCAGCTTCTGGTACAGTGGAAGAAAAAAAAATTTCTAGGATCATACCCCTAGAATCAGGAGGGACTTCATAAATCACCTAATTCAACCACACCAATTTACAGAAGAAATTATTTCCCAGAGATGTGTATGTTTGTGGGAGGGAGGTTGTGGGGGGGAGACCTTTTAGTCATAATTGTCCTAGAGATGGAACTAGCCTCAGTTGACATCTGTCCAACTCCTTTCATTTTACATATGAGAAAACCCTGAGAGAATATTGGACTTGGCAAAGGCCCACAGATTGGTCAGTCAGAATTTGAACCCAGGTCTTCTGACTCTTTCCCTTCTGGTAGTTGGTATGGAGTCAAATATTAGGTTTATCTCTGAGTACTAGAAGACCTTAGCTATCACACGAGGATTCTTGGTTTCTTCATCTGTAAAATGTAAGAGGTCCCTCCATCTCTAAATCCACGATTGCTGAGGTATCTTCCAGCTCTAAACTTATAGTTTTTGATGGTCCTTCCAACTCTAACATAAAATTCTGAGATTCTATATGGTCCCAACTCTTCAGCTAATTAGCTGAGCGACCTGAGCAAAATCCCCTCTCATGATTGAGCCTCAATTTCTCTCTAAATGAGGGGAATGGATTTAGATGAACTCCAATAATGCTCTTAGTTCTCAAATTCCATTATAGAAAACTCTCCATTATGTCAATTAGCATTCTGTGAATTCACACTGAACTGAATTAAAAGCTATGTGCCCTTCAAGAAAGATATACCACTCCATCAGTTAGACACATTGGAAAAAGGGTTTCAAATCTGCCATACAATAGTAGATGAGCATCTTCACTGTTTGCTTCCTTTGTGATATCAATTAAATGGCAATAACCCAAATCCCAAAGTGGATATTGCTTCTCCTTTTTTTTTCCTCAAGCTATTGGCTTCCCAGAATGCTGCAGGATGGGAATCTTTATCAAAATGAAACATTTTCTATAAGGAAGTCACCTCCTGGAAGGTGAATGCTCTGTTAAACATCACCCAAATACCAGATTTGAAAGATCTCTTTTGAAAAGTCAGTAAATGCTGTTGAATTCCCAAGCCCAAATACCCTCATGAATCTTGAATAATTCAATAGATTGCTGAAGAATTCCTGAATCCAAAAAAAAAGAAAGAAAAAAAAGAAAAAAAATACACATGTGGAAAAGCTACCCAAGGGCATCCCCTCCCCTGCTAATAAATTCTAGCCCTCTCTGGCAAACTAGGTAGAAATGCAATGAAAGGCTATGTAGCAGGAGCAATATGAAATAAAGTCTTTTAAGATCCTTCCCTGCTCTAAAGCCTTTAATCTTGTGTCATGCAAATTAAGTCCAGCTTTTGAAAAATATGTCCTGCTTTTCCACCCCCGGAAGGGTTAAATGAAAACTATGGAATTTCCTAAACCCACTGCCATCTATTTACTTCTGAACTCATATTA